GGTCTGTGGTCATGTTGGGTGGTGCCTTTTCTCTCTGCTAGAGTCCTAATTGCTCCCCACTGTTTTCTAGCAGTTTCTGTGTCCCTGGTAGATCCCTCTCTTGCTTGGAAACCTAACTGCCTGCCTGCCTGCCTGCCTGCCTGCCTGCCTTCCGCTTTGAGGGTTCACATGGAGTGGGGAGACTGGGGCATGGGCTCAGCTTACCTTCCTAAGAGCAGAAGTCCAATGATAGTTCCATTACATTTCCGACAGCTTGAGTCTCACCCACCTCCACCCCACCATTTACTGTATGTTTTAGAATTATGGGGACTCTGTCACATCATGGGATCCCTAGGAGTGCTCTTCCCTGAGGCTTTGGAGGGGACAGTAGTCACTGCCAGAGAAGGAAGCCCAGGTGATGGCTGGGTGGATGCTGCAGGGGTCAGAGATGGCAGGAGTAAAGATGCAATAGAGTGGGCTTTGGGGGTGTTGTGAAGTCAGAGCAGCAGAACAGAGTATAGTGGGAACCCCAGGAAGGAGGGAATCCCTCTCACAAAGAAGCCATGAAGCTGAGTGCGTAGGTGCATGCCTGTAATCCTGTCTGCTCAGGAGGCTGCGGAGGGAAGATCTCAAGTTCAAGGCCAGCCTGGGCAAGTTAGGGAGATCCTTTCTAAAATAAAAAATTAAAAGGGCTGAGGAAGTAACTTAGTGGTAAAGCACCTCTGGGTTCGGTCTCCAGTACCAAAAAAGAAAAAGTCGTGCCACTGTGTCCGTGTATCTCAGACATGAGCCCCACCACCCGTCCTGCTGACACTGGACCAGAGAGGTCAGTCTGTGGTGTAGTCCAATAGCCTCTCTCCTGCCCCAACAGCCCAGCTTGTGCTTCTTGACCTTGACCATGGAAAACCATGTCCACAAACAGATTTTCTGGGAAGCTAGTGATGATTCAGTCTCAGGTCTCCTTGTTTGTACACTTCCAGGCTCTGGGAAGGTGGAGGGACCCTAGTTAAGTTTCTACGTGGTCATATGTGAAAATGTAAGACCTTTTTGTAGTTATATTTTAAAAGAACACCCAGATTACATATTTTGGGGCTCACATAACCTGAATCTGTCCCTGTTTGTGTCATCAATAAAAGAAAGAATTCATTTCGGTTACCAGGGAAGTGGGATAAATCATCAAGCTGGAGAAAGAAATATGAAAGAAAATTAATCCATTTAGGGAAGACACACCACAAAGGAGCAACCCTGACTCAGAGAAAGCAAAATTTTAAAAGATCAGGTGGTCTTCGTGGGCAACAAGCCAAACTCCTGTCGGGGATATTCAAGGCTGAGGAGTCCATAGCAGTGATTGACAATGTGGTTTTTGGCCCTTTTCAGGACCAGGCAGCTAAATGGCACCTGCAGCAGCTCAGTGGACATGGAGCTCTTTCTCCATTACTCCCTCATCCCATCAGTAAGTAAAGACCGGGGAGGGACGAAGAGGGGAGAGGAGTTGGGTGGCTGTGTGACACAGGCCCCCGGAGGGCTGACAGCTCAGGGGAGGGACATCAGCAGAGTTTCCTTCTAAAGCCTTCATTCAGTTTCTTACGTTATGCACCAAACTCATAGAAGAAAGATGTTAAGAATTCAACCGTCAGCAATACCAGACAGAAGACGGAGCCTGTGCAAAGGCCCTGTGGGGAGAGAGGAGATGGAGAGCATGAGGAGCTGAGAAGGCCAGGAGTGGGGAGCCCAGTGGAGGAGTCTGGGGAGCAGGGCAGGGCCCAGCCAGGCATAGCCCTGTGGGGCTCTCTGTTGAGTTCTGTTGTCAATCAGAGGACAAGGGAAATAAGTGAGGGGTTTTCAGCGTGAGGGTGGCATGGTCAGATCTGTGTTTTTAAAGCTCACTCTGGTTGCAATGTGGAGAGGAAGCTGGAAGAGCAATTAGGACTCATTGTGGGGGCTCAGGGAGGGCAGCTTAGGTCCTTCTAGATGATGGTGGACAACTTGAGACGTTGGGAGTGAGAAGACCTGCTCATGGGTGAGGGAGGGAGGTTAGAATGAGCAGAGGTTGAGGATGACTCCTGGGTTTTACTTGCACGTCTGGAAGGGTGGTGGCAGCTGCCATTCACTAGTTATGGAAAATTAGAAGAGATCCAGGTTTGGGGCGGATGAAACCACAAGGCAGGGAGAAGAATATCATGAGTTCCATTGAAGACCCACTGAATTTGAGATGCTTCTTACAAAGAAATACCGAATGTGTAATTGTTGTATAGTTATGAGCTTTGGAACATGAGAACATGTTCCATGTATGAGGACATGACCAAATCCACAGAGCAAATCCCTGACAGTCACCACTGCCTTTTCACAGATGAAGAGACCGAGGTTCAGGGAAGTCAAGTCTCCCTTCAAGCCAGTGTGTGGGAGAAACCAGGTTGGAACCCACATCTGCTCAGGGCAACACAAAAGAAAGCTCAGTGCAAAACATCTGGTAGCTCAGGGCCACAAAGTCAGACCCTTGACTCTGCAGTGTGAGGTGACAGGGACACTCTGCATGCTGGGCTCAGCCACACACCCTCTTTCAGTGGGGACACTGAGGGCCAGTTGAAGATGAACAGGTCCCACTGACTCTCCATCTTCTCTTCTACAGCTTTTCATCATTTTGGTCTTGTCCCTCCTACAAAGACGAGAGCACTGTAGACAGACAGAGGACACCTCCTACCTCCTGGGGAACCACTTTGGAATCATCGTGTGAGTTGAGTTGGGGTCAGCCCCTACAGCTGGGGGTACTCTCTAGTTGGAACCAACATCAACTTGAGGCCAGGTAGCTCCTAGGATCCATGCACACTCCTGGCATGTCCCTTCCCCAATCCAAACAACACCCCAAGAGATGAGAATCCACTTCTAAGCCATCGCAGCCCTGGGTGCTGAGATCTGCAGGGAGGAGACTAAGAGGACTCGGACTCCTGTGGAAAAGGCCTTCCCACGTGGAAGGTGTGGCCACCTCGGGGAACAGGAGGAAGAGCGTTCCCTGTGACTGGGAGGGAGTCTTCCTGGCGGATGGTGCCATGAGTCATGTTCCAGATCTTGCTGCACCGGGGAGCTTCCTTTAATTTTCCCCCTGTGTATTTTTTTATTGGTGCATGGTGACTGTCCCTAATGGCGGGGTTCATTGTTACGTATTTGTTACATGCACAAAATATAACAACATGACTTGGCCAATATCATTCCCCAGTGTTGGAAGAGTCCACGCCCAGTGCAGGTTTCCAGATGTGCAAGTTGTTGAATTGAATTGCATCGTAATCAAGACGCCCCTGGCAGTACGTACAAGCCACGTGAGACTCGGTTTCCCCATCTTTAACTCAGATGGACACCCCTAATCTGCTCATCACAGGGTCAATGTAGAGCAAATGAAGAATTGCTTTATAAGCTGTGAAGTGCTGCAGGCACAGGAAGGGTTATATTTCAGTAAATAGTCCCTTTTCACTACTCCACTGATCCCCCTTTGGTTTCCATGTGATTCCCACTTCCTTTGATTCCCTGTTTCCTCTCTACCTTCCACACACCAGGGGAGCTTTCAGGTCCTTTCTAGTTCTGCCATTCTGAGTTGCTGTGTTCCTGATCATATTTTTTCTTGAGTTCTATTTGCCCCATTATCCCCAGTTATTACCATCACCATCACCATCACATCATCATCATCACCACCACCATCATAATCACCATCACCATTATAATCACTATCACCATCACCATCATCATCAACACCCTTACCAACATCACCATCACCATTGTCACCATAACCATCGTCATCATCATCATCATCACTACCATCATCACCATCTCCACCACCATCATCATCACTACCACCATCATAACCATCACCATCGTCATTACCATCATCAACATCATCATCATCACCATCACCATCACCATCATCATCAACACCATTACCAACATCACCATCACCATTGTCACCATCACCATTGTCACCATCACCATTGTCATCATCATCACTACCACCATCATAACCATCACCATCACCATTGTCATCATCATCATCATCATCATCACTACCATCATCACCATCACCATCATCACCTCCACCACCATCATCATCACTACCACCATCATAACCATCACCATCGTCATTACCATCATCATCATCATCATCATCATCATCATCACCATCACCATCACCATCACCATCACCATCATCATCACTGTCATGTACTTAACATTCATGGCACCCTGTTTGTGACCCGGGCCCTAAGCCACTTGCCTTGCATTAATTTCCTAAACCCTCTTTTGCCAATATAGCGTCATGGAGGCCGTTGTCCTCACACCATGGATAAGAAAACTCAGACTCAGGTTAAATGACTTGCCCAAGGCCACAGAGATACAAGTGACAAGAGCTTTAACCCAGACTGGTTTGGTATTTTTTCCTTTCTCCCAGTGTCAACATGAGCAGGTTCAAGCTAGAGACACCCCAAGATCTCATTGCTGGGCTCTGGAGAAGGAAGAGGAAGCCAGAATTTCAGGACTGAGGCTGAGGTTGACTTGAGATGCAGAGAGGGAAAATCCAACACCAAGTCCAAGGGCACTGCACACCAGCTCTGAGCAGCAGCTAGAGGAATTCTGGACTCCCTGGGACATTTGACCCCTCC